AAAAGCTTCGTGGTGAACGATGTGATCTTTCTTTAAGTTTTACATTTTAGAAAACAAAAAAAAGTTTCAAATGTCGGTGCAGCAGCAGAAATCAACTGATTCTTAGAAAAATACTGAGAAGTGTTTCCAACATAATAAATGTGTTTCATGTTGTAAGAGCGATGTTTGAGAACATCAGTCTGTCTCCAGCTGAACCTCAAACCCTTTAAAGAATCTTCACAGTGAAGATTTTAAGATTTTCACTCCAGAAAACTTTACAGTTTTATTTTCTGACCTCAGCTGCCGTCCTCAGTCTCTGATCAAAAATACTGTCACAACATGTCGTTGGGTTTTTTTGGCAGAAGAGCACGAACACAAAATGAACCAACATCAGATTTTGGTAAATGTACATTTTCATCTGCAGATTTGAATCTTTTTCACGCTCCGACCCTCCGAGGCTCCAGGCGAGAACATTAAAAAAAACCTCACTTTAAAAATAAAGTTTTAGAATGAGATGTTTCTATTAAACACTGTCTCACGTTAGTTTCATTAGTGACGTTAGTGGCACTTCAGACTCGACTACGACAACTTTTCATCTCTAAACTTGTTAAACATCCGTCAGTAACATGTTACTGTCTCTTTAATTCTGCTTCTTTTTGCATCAGATTCATTCATTCAACAGAACAAAGTTAATTTTCAGTCTGAAATGATTTCATTCAAACTTCAAAAGTTTTTAATGGTCAAATGATTGTTTGATTTCATTTCTCCTGAAGAATCAAACGTCTCTTTCGTCGTTTGGCTCAAATTGAACAGATTCTCGTTAAGGAGCCATCGTTGAATCTGATTGGTTCACAGCCCGTTAAACTAATTGAGTTGGGCTCATGCAGGTGTTCTTCAGTCCCACTGAATGCTGGGATATGTAGTTGAACCAGCAGCAGCTTCACTTCTTAGAATCTGAATCTATTTTAAATCTTTACATTTTTTTTCTTTGTTTGTCGTCATGTGATGTTCAAATTCTTTTTATCAAATTAGAAAAGACGACTTTTTTCTGAAATTTTCCGTCTTCGTGGAGACGATAGAACGAGCATCGAGCCGTGGGGGGAGGGGCGGGGATAAACACTGATATTCAACAAAATAAAACAAAAATCACCTAAAGCTAAAACTCATCAAACACTTAAGCACTTTGAGATTTAGAAATCAAAAACGTAAATGGAAAAAGTTTTCCCTTTCGTAGTGTGTTCAGAGCCACACGAAGCCTCGACAGGCTTAACGTCGCTGCATCGCAGCAAACCCACCAAAATAAAAGCCCTGCCCCTCGCTGCTTGTTCACTTTAGCCGGCGAGACACCGTTTGAAGGCCTCTCCGCACCAACGACCACAGGCGCACAAACACGTGACACGTTCGACTTCCAGCTTTAACTTTTGTCTGAAGTTGTTTGTTTTTGAAATCAAAGCTAAAAATGTTGCTTCCTTCAGATTTTGAGTTTATCATTTTTTCACGGATGTTGGAGAAGCTTCAAAGCTGCAGCATGAAACAGGACGAGGCGGGAAGCGTTTCCACAAACACCTTCCACCGTCGCCTCCTGCTGACAAAACATTTTCATAGAAAGCTCGAGTTCTATTTTAAGTCTGAATGAAGTGAGGTAGCCTGAAGCTGGAGTCGGTCGCAGCCGGCGTCGGTTGGCGCGGCTCGTCGCTCGTGTTCGCCGGCTAAACGTGAACAATCAGAAATCCTCTTCACCGTCATCACATTTACATACTGCATCAAATATAGATACACGCAAAGATATTCAATATATATATTTGTCAGAGTATCAGCAAAATAAAACCCTCCACAAAATAAATCTCTGATTCATTTTTACAATATGTAAAACAAAACACGATTTCTATCACCAATCTTTTTAAAAGTGCTGGCAACATTATTTTATAACAATGTGCAAATTTCTGTAGTTTAACCTCATCGTACATTCCAATCATTACGTTTCCCTGTGACACGTGGAAGGTGAGTGGTTGCTAGGAGACAGAGTTGTAGACACGCCCGTGCAGACTGCTGATTGGTGGGATGTGAAGCGGGCGCCGTACACAGGATGTCCTGCAGGGCTCCGGGTTTGGCTCGTCAACCGTTCGGGCTCTAGATTTAAGACAACGACGTAAGGCAACGCTTGGCATCACGTTGAGTCCTCCGGCTCTCATCTCGCCACCAGCTGATTGGACCAAAGTCTTTGCTCGTCAGCTGGATTTGACGGAGGGTGAACGCCCGCACGTTAACAGTGAACCGTGTTTTTAAGACTAAAAACTAAACTGATTTTTAAAAATGTTTCTTTTCCCATGCTCGAGAAATGTTTAAAAATCTGCTCAGGTAGTTTGACCAGTTTCTGTGACGACGTAAGAACAGAAATGTTTATTAAAGTTTTCGTCACATACGAGAAAAACTAAAATCTCACCTAAGTTACGATAAATGGTTGCGTGTGGCAGCAGATCCACGTTTTCTTTGTTTCAGATCATAAATCTGACGGACGAGAGCGAGATGTTCGTGGGAGGAGCTCAGCGTTCATGAGACTGAGGAGACGAGGCAGAGATGAGTGATCGGGTTGATTATTGGCAGCGTTGAGCGCGAATCGTTCCGTTTGGCACTTCAGTCGACCGGGAGGAAGAGGAGGGTGAGGAACGAAGCCCGACCTGATGCTCACTGAGGTCGTCTCCGGAACGAGGAGAAGTCAAAGGTCAGATCCAGTGAGAGTTCAGTTTTCTGATTATTTTATTAATCGATCAAATATCATTGATTTGTAAAATGTAATAATCAGCATGATGAAGAAGTCGATGTAACGTTTGTATGAATCACTTGAATTAAAGTGACTGATTATTACATTTATTAGAATTGTTGTTGTCTCCGGATCTTAAAACAATGTTGAGCTTGAGTTAAGAAGAATTTAACTTTGTGTTTCGACTGAATCCTCACTGGAACCCTCTGACATCAGATCTGCCTCTGAACGACAGGTCAAAGAGTCACACGCTGCCCAGGAGTCAGGACTGTTCTGGGATCAGTAGTCGGAGCTGGTGATTCACAGTATTGGACTTGAGAACAGAACAGAAACCCTGAACCTCAGAATTCAGAACAACAATCAAAGTGTCAAATAAAGTGCCGACAAACTTAAAGACGTCAAAGGTTAAAGGTCAAAGTTAAACTCAGGACTAAAGCAGAACCAGGATCAGTCTGATGATGCCTTCAGGGCTCACTGAGCCCACCTCGGCTTCCTGGCAGCGTGGTTAGTTCAGGGACCGTTGGTTGCCCCGTAACAGGAATTTTCGGGGACGTGGAAAATGAACATGGAAACGTTAATTTTTAATTTTACTTATTAAGGCCCATTTGTGCTCAAGTTGGGAGCGGACGGAGCTTTTTTCTGTCTCTGGTGTGTGCGTTCGCTTTGTTACGCTCCTTACAGATGAAACTGACTCAATGGAGCAGTACCACAGGAAATCATCGGGGGCAGTGTAACCAATAGTTAAAGCAAGATGACCAGAGGACACGAGGAAGAAATTTGAGTTGGTGGACTGATCTGTCGCTGTTTACGTCGCGACGGCTTTTGTTGTGGTCAGAAACTCTTGACCCTGCGCTGCCCTCTAGTGGATGTGTTGCTTATAAACCATGGCCACGTAAAGGATGCATGGAAGCATGTGGGACGTTTCTCCTAAACAGGAAGTGAACACATCTTGTTGAAGGACCGAACGTTTTAATTCCTGTTACGACGCAAACGACCTCAGTGATTTTCTGCGGTTCAGTCAGTCTGTTCGTCTAAAATTCTGTCTCAGCAAATGGCCTCAACACACACAGAGGTCAAAGGTGTGTGAGAGTGTGTGTGTGTGTGTGTGTGTGTGAGTGTGTAATGGCCGTCTAACAGGTAGGTGTGTGTGTTTGCATTTCCAGCCCTCCCACATCAACACAAGTTTCCATTGATGCCATTAATCCAAGATGGAGGAAGCTCGACCGGCGTCGAGAAAATCTTTCCATCGTTTTTGACTTTTTCTTGATTTTTCCTGTCGAGAAGCAGATGAAGCTCCGATCGATCAATCAGCTGGTTGATCTCTCTGAGCTCGATCCAGAGGTCGACGTGTCGCTGTCTTGTTGTCGGTGGGACGGATGGAGATGGAGCTCTGTGATTGGTGGAGCTCGGACTACATGACGCTCTCAAAGATGATGACCTTGTTGTCGTCGGTGCTGGGTGACATCAGCGTCAGGGACTTGACGTCGGGGGCCATATACTCCAGGTGATGGTGCCCCCACACCGGAGTGGTCAGGTGGGCCCAGCGCTGCAACGCACAGCAGGAAACATCAGAGGTCATGTGACGTCAGTTCAGAGGCTCTGATTGGTTAAAGAGTAACAAGCTGCTGCTGGACTGAAACTAATCATCGACCTCGTCAGGTTTCTGATGCAGTAAAACTTTAAACCTGAGGAATGTGTTGCCTGGAAACCACCGAACACCAACTGTTACTGGACGGAACAACTTTAAAATAAAATATTCACGTACTTTAAATTCAGTTTTTAAAAAATATTCTTTAACAAATAATGGACTTGTATATATATATATATATATGTCTTCATGTGACTAAATACTGTGTAACATCAGTATAACACTGACTGTATATACAGAATCACTGACTGTTTATAAAGAATCACTGACTGTTTATAAAGAATCACTGACTCTATATAAAGACGATTACCTCTTTGAATGTTCCCTTTGCTCTGAAGAGTTTGTAGAGGACACTGACGGGGATGCAGAGCATCGAGGACAAAGCCAGACACCAGCCAATCACCTCGCCCCACCACGGGTACACGTACACGTTGTTGTAGGTCAGCGGTTTGTAGTTGAACAGGTGGAACAGGAAGATGCCCTAAAGACGAGAGGAGGCGGCCATGATGGAAAACATTGTCAAACACCGCACAGGATTATTAAAGAAAAGAGAATCTGTGTCTCACCAGGCAGACACACGGAGTAATGAAGGACCAGCACCACTTCATCCAGGGGAAAGGCCGGTAGCCAATCATACGAGCTACATCGTCCATGAAGCGGTCAGCACCTGCGACACGATCAATAAATCAATCAACAAGAAAAACATGCAACAGAATAATGTAGAATAAATATAAACTGTCTTTGAATAATGTTGTGAACCGTCTGAGACAGAAGCACAACGTTTACACGCTCCAGACACGATGGATATAATATATAGAGATAAGAAGATCAATCGTGAACACTCCTCCGCTCCGCCGCACGTCACCAACACGTTTGTCGTCGTCCATTCAATGAAGTTTTGTAATGTGACAAACTTTTTCACACAGAGAAAAATAAACTATGACCTCATGTTAATCACGAGGATCAGACTGAACTTTGACCTTCACATCATGTTACATAATTATTCCTGCAATTATTTTAAGATCACATACTACACTACTGTGTGTGTGTGTGTGTGTGTGTGTGTGTGTGTGTGTGTGTGTGTGCAGGGGGGGGGCATACCGTAGACCCAGGCAACTACTATGCATTCCCAGAATGCTTGCCACAACAGAGTCATTCCACTGGCCGAATAGTAGTCAAACAACTGGAAGACGTACATCCCTCCCTGCAGGACGACAACATAAAGATTCAGTTTTCACACAAAACTGCATCAAATCCTCGTCTGAGTTTCACCTTTGTTTGTATTTGTACAGAAGTTTTGGGTTTTTTCACAGTGATCAGCTGCTGCGTTCTCACTTCAACTCCTCCAGAGACACTGAGGTGCAGGTCTGAAAGCAGCTCTTGTAAGTTTTCTAACTGTACACTGCAGTCACTGCATTCTAATTAGTTTTGGTGTTTCATTAAATGTGAACATGAAGAATGACTTGTCTGTTCTCTGTGACTCTGCTGAGTGGGTTCATCTCCCGTGAGAAGAAGTGACTGAGAGTCACAATCAGCTCCAGTTGAAGAGTGAAGCTGATCTGAGATCAGTTATTAACAACCAGAGCTTATCTCCAATGTTCAGCAGGAAACTTTAAATATGAAGAACTCTGAACAGAGTTCGGTGGATTTGTTACAGCAGCAGCTCCTCTGATTCAGGAAGCAGAGGATCATGGGTAATATCCGGCGTTCAGTTGTGTTTCAGCTCAGTGGGACGACACAGTCGGAGCTCCACTTTGTTTTGTCTGTCATCACTCGGAGACGGAGCCCAACAGAGTTAATCAACACGTGTGGCGCCGTTGCTCAGTAACAGTTGCACGGTGTTGTGTTAACGAAGATCCAGACAGTCTGTAACGTACCTGCGTCACCATGGAGAGATCAATGATGAAGCACAGTGAACAGCATATCGCCACAGCGATCTCCCTCTTATAACGATGGTAGTATTTTCCAGGGAACAGATCCAGAATTCCAGTAACAAAACCCTCAACGCCGACGAACTGGAGACAGAGACACCGAGTCAAAATCACAAACTCACAGTCAACTTCATTTACCTCTGAGGTAAAGTCACATGTTACAGCAGCTCAGACAGATAATAAATAAAATAAGGAATTAACGTCACTCACTGAATAAATCTAAATGTACTCTGGAAAATGTCCCAAAAATTGTGTCTAGACATGACGTATAAATTCTGCTGTGGAAAGATCAGTGTTTTTGTTTACAGCTCATCCACACCGGCGTCGGCCCTTATCACCAAAAGATCTGGGATCTCGTTGAATCTCCTGCTGCGTTCTTCATATGTAAAACACAAATTCCAGGAAATGTACAGACACTCTTTTCTCATGTCTGAATACAGTTCATGCTGAATGTTGCAGAAATGAAAAGAAGCGGACGCTCACCTGACTGTCCAGCCCGAGCAGCAGCAGCATGAAGAAGAAGAGCGCCGCCCAGAGCGGAGCCACCGGCATCAGACTGACGGCCTTCGGATACGCGATGAACGCCAGACCTGGACCTGAGACACACAGGTTAGAGGTTTAATCCACCACAACCCCCCAGTGCAGACTGTTCCTCTCATCATCAGCTTTACTCTGGAAATGTCCAAATAGTTTTTCTTGTCGAATACTCGTATAAATCAAACTCTTCTATTCCGTCATGAGTGTAAATTCATCTTTAATGCCGTTGGTTAAAACTTTACAGACTGGCCCTTTAAACCTCGAGTTGACTGATATGTGTCTCCTCCAATCAGCTGTGATCGGCGCCACCTTCAGGTTACAGCAGGAGTGAGTGTCACTGGGTTTCCTGAGCAGAGCCTCATGAAATAAAGATGAGTCACATGTCGTGAGGTGAAAGGGCCTGGTTCAGTAATCCCACAGTTAATACTGCGCACACGCACACACACRCACACACACACACACACACACACACACACACACACACACACACGCACAGTGATGCTAATACTTTAAACCATTGTAAACGTGTCAGACAGGACTCAGGGTAAATTGGATCTACTTTTGTTCTTTTTACAGAAAGATTAGAATAAAAACGTCCATGTCCTCACACACACACACACACACACACACACACACACACACACACACACACACACACACACACACACTCACACTCACACACACACACACCAAGATGCTAATAATGTAACCTGGACTGTAATATGTCACCATCATGTATGTGAGACTCGTCTGTGATTGGTCGAGAGGCGGTGGAGTCTCAGAAACAGATTTCAGTGAGTCGCTCCGACAGCTGCAGCCTCGTACCTTCTGTGGACACACTAAATATAACTGTGTGTGTGTGTGTGTGTGTGACTATCCATCATGTGCTTCCCTGCTATTAATAAACATACAGTTAGCTGGAGACTGTACACATGAAGCTACACAACACACACACGGTGTGATATAAACATATGAGAGCCTCAGACTGCAGCGTGTGAAGCTGGTTTCACCAACTGACCATGAACGAGTCTTCAGCCACTGATGAGCTGAACCTGCAGCTCACGTCAGTGATCTGTGGCCAGAGACTGTAAATAAAGATGGACGACACATCTCCACCTCGTCCCTTTGTACAAAGATGAAGCTAAAATATTTCGGATGCAAATCCGTCCACCGTCTTGTGGTCATGGAGCCAGAGTGTGTGAGGTCGGGGGGTCGTCCGCTAAATTCTCCCTCATTCCGTGTGCAGACGTGTCCTTGGGCAAGATACTGAATATTGCTCCTGACGGCTCTGCTGATCGAGAACGAGCTAACTGTATGAATGTGTGTGTGTGTGTCTTACCTGACTCAGCGACCTGTGAGATGTCGACTCCCTGCTCAGCAGCCATGAAGCCCAGAATAGAAAACACAACAAAACCAGCGAAGAAACTGGTTCCACTGTTGATCAGAGCCAAGACGAAGGCGTCTCTGCAGGAGAGAGAGAGAGAGCTCAGTTAATCATCGATCAATTATCAATATAAGAAATTCAATTCATTGTTTTCTAATTAAAACTTACTGAATCATATAATTATCATATATAGAAAACATCAACATCAACAGATGTTTTTTCCAGTGAACGACCAGAGTGTGTGTGTGTGTGTGTGTGTGTGTGTCGTACTTGTAGCAGTCGTTGTTGAAGCGGTTGTAGCTGCCCAGAGCTGTCAGAGCTCCCAGGCCAATGGCGTAGGAGAAGAAGATCTGAGTCCCTGCATCTATCCACACCTACAGAGGTCAGAGGTCAGAGGAGTGATGAGTTCACTGCTCGGCTCAGAGTCCGACATCTGACATCATTTGTTGGCGTGGGGACGAGGATCAAAGCAGCGTCTCTCTGTGAGAATCTGATCTGAGCTTTCTGTCCCCACCGTCTCACCTGAGCCTCCGCCAGTTTGGACCAATCAGGTTTGATGTAGTACATGATGCCGTCGTAGGCTCCGGGGAGCGTGACACCTCTGACCAGCAGGATGATGAGGACCACGTAGGGGAAGGTCGCTGTGAAGTACACAATCTGAAACACACACAAACACACACGTTATGGCCGTTATTATGAACAGTGCATAATACACACCTGTAGAGACAGATCAGTGTCAAACGTTAAGAAATTATTATTAACACACACACACACACACACACACACACACCTATCTTTGTATGACACCAGTTTTCTGGAAAGACCTGTTCGTCACTAATTTACTGAGAATTTCTTCGGATGAATGAATGAAGGACGGACAATTAGATTTTCTCAGTGTGTTGAAACCTGCTCTAATTCTACAATTATTTATTCTTACAATAATTATTGTTAATGATAAAAGATTAATCACCTGTCAATAATCAATAATCTTTATTTTTATACATCGTTCTCTGAACATGAAAATAAAACCGTATGGAGTCCAGCGGACCGTGATGTACAGCTCTCTCCCTCTCTCAGCCTCTCTCTCTCTCTCTCCCTCTCTCAGCCTCTCTCTCTCTCTCCCTCTCTCTCTCCCTCTCTCAATCTCTCTCTCTCTCTCTCTCTCTCCCTCTCTCAGCCTCTCTCTCTCTCTCCCTCTCTCTCTCCCTCTCTCTCTCTCTCTCTCTCTCTCTCTCTCTCCCTCTCTCAGCCTCTCTCGCCCGGCTCTGACCTGACACTCATCTTTCAGCGTCCTGCTGATGATCAACACTGTGAAGTGTTTGTGTTGCTACAGAGAGCCGTGAGACCCG